AAAGTGAAATGTAAAACACTTTGCCAGGTTCAACCCAGAACAAAAAGGGTCAGACCAATGCAGCCTTCACATCACTCTTTTCAGCAAACAGGCTGGAGTGTTTGCACAGGAGTGATTACTCTGTGTGCCGAGAGCTTTAGCACATTAGCTAGCGACATTTGTGTTACACTCGTGCTTGGCAATCAACTAACATGTTGACCGTATTCTGTAAATGTCACACACAGTATGAATTGCGCTTGTCAGTAGCAGCCAGGCTCAATATGGAGAACATATATTCAGTAGAAACTGGAGCCTGCTGCAGCACACACAGATTCAAAACATGAGCATGATAATTAAGTAGCGCTCCCTGCTGGCCAATAACTTTAGGCTGCCACAGACTGGAAAACAAGTTTATTTTAAGAGCTCAAATCACAGCAGGTTAGAGGCCGTTCATGTTTCCATGGTTACTGCCTCAGTTTGTTTTGGATGGAAGCATAATTGACCAACTCACAGAAGAGTTATTTAAAGTCAGTGTGTTTTATCAATTAATGATTGTTTTTGATTTGCGATTCTTTGACCCTTTAAAGGTTTTGGAATACACTATCCTTGCGGTGCCTCAACTCAGAGTTCATTTCGAGGTGATAACTTCTTTTTTATGATTCTCTAGGGCCTCTCTGTGTTTTTTTTTTCATTTGCCAAGTACCCCTATCAAAAGATAGGGGTTGCAAAAGAGCAGAGAACATAATCAGAGACCCACTCCACCCAGCTCACACTCTGCTCAGACACAAAAATTGCACCCACAACCTCAGGCACAGCAGAGCGCACGGTGTCATCACACACAGAACAAGATTTTACAACAGCTTTTTCCCTGCCACAGTAAGACTGATGGCAAATACAAAATGTGAATAAACCTGTGCAATAACCCCTCACTACCCTACTAAGTAGAATGCCATATACAATTATGCTATGTGCAATATCTGAAACTCCCCATTTTAGCTGATATCTTATTCCTGTATCCACGATTTTATCAACTATTTTGTATTCTTGTTTTTTGTAGTTTGCATTCTTTTATATTCTTGGGTGATCTTATATTTAGACTAGGTGTTTGTTCTTTTGGCTTTAAACTCTTTACTTGACTCCAGGAGAGCCCTGCACAAGAATTCCTATATGCCTAGACTGTGTGTTTAAACATCTTGAATCTTGATTCTATCAGTTCCTGGTGACAATCTGGGTTTCCCTTGATTCAAATAGACACTGTAGCAAGCCATGTCTAGGATTATATCACATCCAGGAGAAAAAGTAAAAACAGTGACAAAAACAAGCCGATGGGTAAAAAAAATTTAAGAAACAGTCTAAACATATGAGCGGTCACTGGGGCCTCAGGCCAACTGATCTCCAATAGGAATTTTTGGAGCAATATGTTAGATAATATCTTTTTCAAGAATGTTGTTCCTCCTGTAGAGTCCAGAGACTTGGAAGATTTGTGCCAAGGTGCACTGAAGCTGTTAAAACACTTTAGGGGACTTTTATATTGCATTGTCTTTAAATTCATTTCAGAACACAGAAACCCAAATGAAAAAAGTCTGCCTTGGACACCACCTTCACATTAAAATACATTTATTATTGTAGACTTGTTTGTAAAAGTCTTTTATGTAAGCTTATTAATGCTAGATGTGACCGTTACTGAAAAGCATGTATAGGCTACAAAAATTAGAGTATCTTGACAGATGGTAACCTCATGTCCACTGTTGGATAGCGTGCAGGCCTTAGCTCACAAAACACAGTCGTTTGGTATAAATGAATAAAGAAGAAAGTCAGTGTACAGTGTAGATAGACAAACTGATCAACAAGTATCTTCATTTGGAAAACTGAGAATAGCATATCTTGAAAACAGAGTTTCTTAGTGGTTTCTATTTCCTTCACAAAATACAGTTAAATATTAGAATTACTGCTTCGATGTTGTATGTCTCTGCCAACCAGTCAAATTGGGGAATGGACACACATGAGGTCACTTTCTTTGATGACCAAAATCTGATCAGTACATCCTTGAGTCTAAGTGGACATTTATGCCAATTTGAAGAAATCCCCTCAAGGCGTTCCTCAGATATCACGTTCACAAGACTGGGACGTACAGACGGACAGCTCAAAAACATCATGCCTCTGGCTGCGGCTGTGGTCAGTGCAGTGGTATAAAAATCTTTTACAGTACTGAAGGACAAATTCTCGCCTAGTAAGTAATATGAACATGTAAGACTGAAAGTCAGCTTACGTCCTGCTTTTCCAGTAATATCTATGCATCTTGGTGAAACTAATACAGGCAGGA